ACATTTATTTGTTTTCTCCATTTTTATTTCATCTGAGGTCTTCATGATCATCAATGTAGGAGCGGTTAAGCTTGTACGAAGAGAAAGTGCAACGTTCTTTGGAAATGCGAAAAGGTACTGCTGGACTGGTTATCAATTATGCCACAAATCTACTCTTTGTAAAATATTGGTTTATAGGAATAGGTCCAATAGGAAATGAATCATTTCCAGACAAGCTATATGTATTTATATGATCAATGAATACAAAGTAGTTCTACAAGATGCATTACTTAGGGTCCAACCTAGACCCCATCTGAGGCTTTGTTTGCGATGCAAAAGTCTTCTTCATGCGATCATGTCCTAATTCAATCCCAAACAAATTGTAATTGGTAAGCGCTGGATTGAATTCATAAGTCAAACATTTATAAGTCTCAAAAGTACTTTCCCACCACAGTTCTTGTAAGTGCTTTTTGAATGAGTAACTCTTTCTAGCTGCTGATATGGTTGAAATGGACTTTACCATTTTTCTTTTCTTTTAGAATTTTTTTGTAGTTTTAGATATTTGAACAAAAGAACTCTTACCAAACAAGTACTTAGTACTCCTCAAATAGTATTACCTCTGTCCCTACATAAATTACAACATTTCTTTTGCATGCTTAGTAAAACAGTGGAGATTGTGTGTTTGAGATGTATTTAAAAAGGAAAGAAAAATATCTGCCACATTATTTTCAACAAAAAAAGCATGAGGCTCATTTGGGGCAACGTAAGGAAAGAATAATGTATTTGATGGATGTAGGAAGTAATCTATTCATTATTGCAAGGTTCCTCTAGCAAATGATGCATATTTGTGAATGTCTGACTTTCTTCAATCTTTATCTCGAAGCACCACTGCGCCCCACAGCCACCATCAATGCACAAGCAGCGACTCGGTTTATTGAGCATTCTCTACCGGACTTAACACGAGGTGGGTGATTTGCTCCTCTAGAAGGCTAAATAAGTTTTTCTTGTACCTTTATTCTTTTATTAGGACAATTTTTCAGAGCAGAAGCAGAGTATGAAAGACATCAGCAAAGGTGAGGTGACCCGGATTAAATATTTGGAACGAGCTGTCCATAAGAAGAGAAAATGTCAACCGAGTGAAAGACAATCTGTTCGTACTGCCGCCCAGGAATTTCTCGAGAAAGCCAGCCGTGAACTTCTTGCCGACAACAGGAGTGCGTTTAAGGGACCCTTGCACCCACCTCAGGATTCCGATGAAGATATATCCTTTGGATAATCCTCTGGAAGTCTGGTAGATTTCTTCTCATCTCAAATTAACTGTCCATTAACTAAATACATTGTTGCTCCCAACTAAGCTGTGATTTAGCAATCTAATAAAGCATAATAAATGAGTACAGTTGAACTCCTGTATTTATTCATGGTTTTTTCCTTTTTTTATCTGCAATATCTAGATATGAATAGGGGTATATATGTCAATATATGACAAGAGAAAGTTATCACATCAAAGATCATACTTTTTCTCGATGGCCAATTAGTAAAGGAGGGAGTACATGATAATATTTTACTGAATCTCCTGTGTTCCCCTTAAATATGGCGTACATAGGGTTTTCATGATTCTCAAGGCTTATTATTGGTGTCGAATGGATAATATTTGTGCTGTACTTGGTAGGAGACAAAGCAATAGAGGGATAGGAAGTCACAAGTCGGTGAGAAAAAAGATACTTCCTCCATTCTTTTTTTAGTTGCAACATTCCCATTTCCACGCTCACCAATGCACAACATTCACTGTCGTGATATTTAATCTTCCATTACTAAAAAAATTGAAAATCAGATTATGAGAATTTGTAATGAGATGAATTCAACAATATCTTTCAAAAAGAAAAAAATAAAATGTAGTCAAGCCAGAGCATGTGAATAGTGTAAAATATTATTCATGTTGCAACTAAAAAGAAACAGAGGATCGTGTGTGAAAAGTGTCTAATAAAATTTCGGCTGAAGAGAAATAGAATGCAAATAGTGCTGGTACAATTGAACTAAACTGGTTGGGTAAGTGAAAAATGAAGTGAAAAAGGAATATGTGCAAAACATGGATTTCCCATGCATTTAAAACAATGTGGAGTGAAAAATGAAGAGAAAAAGTAATTTGGGCAAAATGTGGATTTCCCTTGCATTGAAAACGCTGTTGAAGGGCAGGGTAGACATTTTTAAAATATATTTCCTGCTCGCCCTCAAAACACAAGCAATACATGGTAAATTTTGATTTCCTTATTTTTATCCTTTTGTCCACCCCTGTAACAGTATTAACCCCTCCGATGTAGGCATGTAGTCATGTAGCTACTAGACTAACTTCGTTTTGTGCTTTTTTTTCTTAACTAGCTCTAAAAATGAGTTGCCATTCAGTTTTCCCTGATAATTTCCAACCTATCCTACACAAAGCTTCCATTGTTTTGTCCTCATCATCACCAGTGTAGTTCAGTATTCCCCTTACTGTGGTCATTCTTTTATTTTTTTAGTCCATTCTTTCGTACTGCACTCTCACATTCATTGGTTACTTCATATTTAATTCTTTTATGTTTTATTTTTTATATGACACACATATATATAAAAGCATTTCATCCATTGGATTCGGTTATGCTGCAGTAAAGGAGGTTCATATTGCATTGAAATATACAAATATGTGTGGTACACCTCTCTAGTGCAACATGAAGCTGTTTCAGTGTAGCATCGTCAAATTCAAGTGCAACATGAAACTATTTTTTAGTGCAACATTCCAAAATTCAGCATGAAGCTCGACTTAGTGCAACATCTCTTAAATTGGCCTGATATGATCATTCTCTTATATATATATAGAACTTTTCTTGTCCGGTACGTCCGTAGTAGAGAAAACGAACCAAACTTATCTCTATCGTTAGATTTAAATGATTAAAAGTTGTGGCCTATATTTAAACTTATCTCTCAACATTCCTTTTTATTCCATCACAAGTAAACTCTAACATTCCTCTTTCTCTAATCTTTTTCCTGCACTTCTCTCTGTAAGTAACCCTCTTCCTCTCAAATCTTTTATCTACATCTTCCTCTCAAAATCTGCGGAACACATAAGCTGAGTGAGTAAGCTTTCTTTTTCTGTTGGTTAAATTTTTATTTGAAGATTTTCCGGCTCTACAATTCCGCATCTGGAGTGAGTATGCTTTCTGTTTCTATTAGCTAATTTTTTTTTGAAGATTTTACGGCTCTACAATTCTGCATCTGGATTAAGCTTTTTTGTTTAAGGTCGATTACTTTCATGCTTTTCACTTATATTCTATGAAATTTTGGTCCAAAATATGAATCTGTTATATAAAAGCTACTTGGATGAAATTTTAAACTTAATAATAGATGGTTTAACAAATGAAATTTTAAGTCAGATACAGGAAAAAATTATTAACAGATGAATTTTTAAAATCAATATATGTAACAACGTTCGGCAGAAATCAATTTATTAGTGAAAATGTATTTTTATTACAGGTACATTTTTTTGTATATAAATTTTCAGGTAAACCATTTTGTGTGTGTGTTGCAGAATAAGATTGTGAATAAAGGTCAAGTGGCTCAAGAGAGGTAGACTCATATCGCAAGAGAAAGCTGTAACAGTGAAGCAATTGGGAGATCGTTTGATACAAGAAAGGTTACCCGTGGGGTAATTTTGTGTTTATTAATGGTAGTTGCTTGGAAGCATGGTCTTGCAGTGGGTGATGTGTATTTCTTAGCGTATAGGTTTAGCAGCTTTGAACAATTTAGTTTGCAGACTGTAATTTTTCAGTTGTGAAGATGGTTTTTGTGGAGTGTTAGTTTAACCTACTAATATGGAAGACTCGAACTACTTAATATGGAGAAATATGTAATTTTAAGCTTATTGATGTGATAGTATGGTTATTTAGAAACTCTTGTTACATTATCAAGGAAAATTTGTAGTTTAGCACATCATTAGTCTAGCACATCATTAGTTTGCAAGTACGATAGTATATGCGTGGAGATGGGGATTGGGGAGATGTGGAGTTATAAAATCTAACTAAGAAATGCAGACGAGTAAGCCAAGCTTGCAGACACTCTTATCTTGAAGTCTTGAACTGATATGTGACACTACGGGATGGACAGGCATGGACGGGCCAGGGCCGGGCCCTAGGTTGGGATTGGGCGGGACTGGGTTTTGGGATGAAGGCCAGATACCGGACCGGGTTTGAACCGGGATCGGGTTTAAATGAGTCCTTTCGAATTTATTCCTAGCCCCTCACCCCCACCCCCAAACGCTGCCAACACACCCAGCCCAATCCACCTAGCAGTAACCTAATGCCAAAAAATTAAAAAAAAAAAATAATTTATCTCGGACCAGGCCCGGCCCGACCAGTCTGGTCCACTAAAATCAGGGCTCGTAGGCTCGTAGCACGCCCCATAAACAGTCGGTTCGGGCCCCTAGTCCTGGTATCGCCCGTCCGGGCCAGGTCGGTTGGGCCAACCCGTCCCAGTCCATCCCTAGGGATGGACCCGGTTCCGGTCTCGGATCGGCAGGTCCTGAATTTTAATTGAAGAGACTGGAATCGACCCGGATGATTTCACTTCAACTCACCTCAACTCAAAGTCTTACATGGTTGCCTTTATATAGACAATACAAAGACAAAATAATTAATTCAACACAAGGTTCTAGATGGTTCTTTAACTCTCTAGGGATGTCTTTTTAATTCCCCTAGACCTTTCAAATTCCCTAGGCATCAACTTCCCATGTAACTTCATTTTCCATTCAACATAATTTATTGCAAGACTTTTCATATTTCCCATATTTGAATTTATATCCAACAATTATTAGCTTCACTAATTTAGCTATACAAAATTAAGAGAGTTTCTCCATTATATATAACTGTGCCAAGTGTACTATTTTATATTAGGAAACAAGATTATCTTTAACCACTTGTCCTTTTGCCTGTAAAATATAAATTTCTGTTGCTATTAGTTTATTGTCTCTGCGTGTATAGAATACCCTTGTGTCATAAGGTGTCAACAAGGCCATGCATCTTGTTGGAGGTAGTAAATGACATTAAAAGAATGCAATTAAAATTTTACTGAAGTAAATGGCTAACTTTTAACTATTTACAAAAGCATGCAATGACATAGTACGTGAAGTGATATACATGGTCTGGATCCATCTCTCAATAGCATATATACATACATCAAAGGTTGAGCCTTGTTTCGATCTCTTAGATAACTTGAATAGTTAGTCTTGGTCTCTAACTTGAACTAACATTGCACATGAAGTTATTAGTGGAATTCCGGCTGAAACCAAGTAGCTAGGCTCTCTCAAGGTAGGAACTTTTTTTGGTATTCACTATGTCTGGTGTCTTATTTACTCCTACTTTCAGATTGTTGTCTTTCTTTGAGTCAGCATCTGCTTGGTCCAATGTTGTCCAGCCCATGAAATCTAACAATGTCATTGATGTAGCTGTCTCTGCAGAATTGGTCTTCTCCACTTCTTCTTTAGGAGTGAGAGGCTTTGCTGATAATGCAACAGATGATGATGGTGAAGATGATGAGTCTTTTGGAGCGCTAGTGGTCTTGTCTCCCTCTGTAGGATTTTGTGCCACATTATCTGCATGGAGAACGTCTTCGATTCGCGACAAAACTGTGAAAGCCAGACTTTCTATGATGCGTGAATAGCTCTCCAAAACTGCATGTCCCACATTCTACAGGATATCGTATTAAGATATATATTAGAGGTAGGTAAGTCATGATCCTATCCTACATGTGCAAAACTAAAAATGCAATCAAATAATATTACTCTGTTGTATTGGATTTTGCTGATGTCAAGGGACGACTGTGGAATTCCTGGGAAGCGATGCTTGAGAATGAGCAATATTGTCTCTGCCCTCTCTTCAAACAACTCTCTTTTCTCTATACTCACAGCTGAGCTCCATGTTGATTTCTCATTTTTTGCATTCATCTTCCTTTTCCAGATCACAACAGAAGCCTCAATCCTGTTTTTGAGGTCCAGGATTTTATGTTCTGATGATAAGTCCATTGTGGAGAGAAAGTAGTCAGGATCAAAGTATTCATCTGTGATGCTCCTGTAAATGGAGTCCCCCAAGCTCGCTCTCCCATTCTAATACAAACAAACACATACTAAACTTCAATGAGTCTTATTTTTATATACTACTAGTAGTATATGTGAATGTATGCAGAGACAGATGAATCTTGCATGCATATCGGCAAGTAAGCAAATTTGCCTGGCTTTTATGTTGTTACCTTTGGAAGAGAATCTATATAACTTTCAGGGATCTCCATTTCTCCAAGGACTTGAGCATTTATTGCCATAGCAGCTTTATGGACCTGATTTACTGCATCCTTCTGAGATTGTATCCATTTCTTTGAAGCTTCTGACAAGCCATTGGAAGGAACTTTGGGAGTAGGTATCCACCATTTGTCATCTTTCCTGCTTTTCCCTTTCTGGTCTGGGTCATCCTTCGATACATAGAAGAATTCGTTTTGATCCTTAAAGCTGTCCAGGCAATCCTAATGATCGACCATCACAGCCTTTTAATAATTGGGTGGCATTTAAAAGTATGAATTATATGTAGTTTGATGAATTAAAAGTATGGCGTTTCATCTCATCTAGCTTAAGGCCGGGTCTATAGATAGGAATTAACATACATAGCTTAGAAGAGATTATTTTGATGAACTTACCACAAGCATCCCATCCAGCTTGCGAAGTGCAGGAATGTTCATGTGAAGATCATTTCTCTGTCTTGTTACCATTATCTGACGAGATATAAAAATAAAAACACTTATTATTTTGATGTTTTTTTACTCCTATGTTAATATTGTTTGTTTTGAAGGCGTGTGTTGGTGTGTGTTTTATATATATAGTTGTACCTCCATGGTTGTTCCATCTTTAGACTTTTGTTTGGAAGGAACAAGCTCAACAATGTAATCAGTGACTGATAAAAGCCAATCAATTTCCTTCCTCCACCTCGCTTTTCTTTCGGGTGCCATTGGCTCTAATCGCTTTATTTCTCCAAACACAGAAGCTGCAGTGTGATTTTAGAGGCCGGGACAAATTAAATATCTATCATGTTAAATACAGAAAGCTAGAAAGAAGTCAGCAATGCCTGCATGCATAAATCCATAACACGTATATGTATATACCGGCTGTGTTTGTGATTGCATTTGACAACGCCAATGCTGATGAAACGCCCTTTCCACCCCCGGACATATCTTCTCCAAGAAGTAGTTTGGCAAACCTCTCCTTCATCAGGTCCATGTCTAGATGAAATGAAAGCCCAAAACTTTAATTATTCCAAATTTATATATATATATGAGACCAAACTTGAAGATCGAATTTCATGAAACTCAAGTACTATATATTTTGCTAGACTAGATGATAGGCAACCATTATATATATATAGCTTGTTATGCATCATTAGGCATGTATGTACATACATAATTACATATTATATATGCATTGAAATGAATGAATAAGGTTGTTGAATATAATTGCCTGAAGGTTGTTTGTCTGAGGAGGTGGCGCCTCCTCCATTTTCACCCATTCCTTTGGTAATGGCCTTCTTTGAAGTCGTCTCTCTTTCTTCCTCGATTGCTCGGACCATCTCCTAATTCAGTTTCTGTTTTATTATAATGGATTAAGAAAGCTATAATGCATAATGAAGGAAGACAACATAAAAGAATGAATTTCTTTTTGGTTTGGCTTTTAGGAATAGGAGGGAAATGGAGGCAGTGCTGGTTTGAGGGAGGTGGAGAATGGATCGTTTGTGTTTAAGATTCCTGAATGGCTGAGAGAATGTCGTGGTGAATGCTTTTCAGAACCGGCCATGACACCTAGATCGCAAGTATTTCCACAAAATATAACAACCATTCTAGCTTAAAAATGGTTAATTACCATATACAGTTATTATACACATAGAAACTTAACAATAATAATCACCGGTCTTTTTATAATAATCTTACATTTACGTAATTCCAAAACAATCTCACTTTTTTTGGAAGAATTCGGCTTAAATTGATAACAGATAATGCAGAATATTGGTCAAACGACAAAAAGAAATCTGACAACCGTTATCCTGCGAACCAGACTCGGAATTAATCACCTCCTGAGAAGCAATATAATTCGATGATCCATAAATGGGAAACCTAAAGCCAAAAACGGTCATCATATTCCTCTCATCCCCCACATCCAAAATCAACGTCTTACAAACAGGAACATAAACGAAAGAACAAACAGCAAAACAGAAATAACAATCACTGAAACAACAAATAAAACAAAAGATAAAACACTTCCGTCGCATCCAGAAAACTCGAACAATCCCACGGACATGCAGACTCCATTTGCCTATCAGCAGCTTCGACGGGCTTAAAGAGCAAAGCCCGCCTCCTCCCCGTTTTTTGTCCCATCCAGAGCCATAGTATCCTCCTCTTGTTCCTTCCCTGTCTGAGTCTCCCAGATCTTCCTTCTCTTGGAAACCTCTTCTTTTGGCTCCTGCCCTTCTCCTTTGGTAAAACTTTGGGCTGATTTAGTCTTTGTCTCTTTCCCTTTCTCACCAGTCTTTCCTTCTGATTAAATGCCCCTGCAAATCAACCTGTTCTGCCAGAGCTCGATGAACCCTCCAAGAGCACTTATTACCTCCTGTTGGGCTCGTCTTCACCCCGCTTTCTGCTCTAAGATGGATTCCAAATATTTTTTCTAAAACTAAGTCTTCTTCATAATTTAAGGGACATAAATTATCTGTGTCCAATAAAGCCACATATAAAGCAAAAATTGGGTAGCCTTTCATATTTGAAATCTACCCAAAAACTTTTACCACCTTTTTTCAGATGTGTCCCCTTCTTCAGCGATTTATCCATCTTCATAAGAACCCTAATCCACATGCATGGCTCTAATTTATCACTCTTCTGATTATCATCATATTTAATAAATTCTCCTATAAAATTTCCCACACGTCTGACAGTGCCCAGATTAACAAGACTATAGGAAACATTATGGATCTGAATCCAAAACTCAGTCTCATTTAAAATAAATTTGTGTGTAATATCATTAGACATAACTTCTTTTAACATTACGAGACTACGCTCAAACTGCCAAGGACCTCCTTCAAGCACACGCATCATATCAAAACGATGATTAAACGTAAATAGGTACCTTTTTTCACCAATTACTTTTACCGACATTCCCTTCCCCGACCTCCAAAGTGTAAGCACCATCTCTTTAAAATCTGGAAATTTGACCTTTCGGTCCGTCAACACCTGGCCAGTCACCTGAAAACCCACTGCGGCCTCTTCCACCGGAACTCCCTCAACCTCACCCTCATCAAGGTTCAGTTCCTCCTCATCCTCCCCGATCGCCATTTGTTTATACCGATCAACAAAGCTTTCCATGCCCCGATCGCCGTCGCACTGCTACTGGATGCCGCCTCGGAAGAACTACGCTATCGGAGCAGTGGCGTCCTCCTAGCTTGATCACCGAACTCGTACCTACCCTGGCCTCCGAAAACTGGAGTAAATAGCCAAGGCCACCTCCTTCCCCACCAATCCGAACGACCGCAGTCCAGACTCCAACAACGCCGCCCAAAACAACCAACCAACTCGCCCTTCGATATGCTCGAAGGCGGACAAAACCTAGGAGTTGCGTGAGCTAGGCAACCCTAGAGAGAGAGAAAATTCCTGCCTTATCCTTAACAATCTCACTTTTGAAAACCTTATATAAATAATTTCACCTTTCACAAATGTGCTCAAAACAGTTTCACGTTTCATTAATTTCTTTTTTTCATCTTCTTATATTTCATTTATTTAATCTGTTTATGTTTTTTCTTTCCTTTTTCTCAATAGTTTTTTTCTTTCTTCTTCTTCTTTCCCATTTTGACTTCTTCGATTTTATATTTTACTATTCGGTTAATGCTCTTTTAACGACTACTATCCCACATTAGTCGTTATTATTTTATTTATTTTTATTTCAAATTTTCATTTCTTTAAATTCTTCATTTTATTCTTTTTTCCCTTTCCACCTTCCTAAAAAGTATTTTTTTTCTTTGTCCCTTTTCACCCCCTTCCTTTTTCACTTGTTTTTGACATGTTAGTGAATATTGACGATTTCTTGATCTAGATTTCTTCTTATTTTTTCCCTTTTTAGATAGTACTTCTCACATCTACCCCTCTTCATGTAGAGAGTACATGTAACTTTTTTTTTTACATTTCCCCGATTGCATTATTTTTCTTTAAATTTCATTTTTCCCTAATCTTTTTATCACAAAGATTTTTTCTCATAATTGATGAAATTTATGAGTGGACTTACTTAGAAAAATATGGTGATCCAGAAAGGAGAAAAAAATATATTAACGGTGGAATTAAGGTAACGAAAAGAAAGAAAAGAAGAAAGAAGAAAAACAAACAAAAAAAGTAACAAGAAGAAAAAAGGAAAAAGTGAAAATAAAAAGAAAGTATAACAATGTGAAATGGCAAAAAGATCTTTAATAAAAAGAGAGTGATTAAGAAAAGAAACACATACAAAGAGACATGAAAGAACAAAACCGGAAGAGAAAAATGATAAAAAAAAAAAATCTGCCAAGAAAGGAAATTCTTACAAAACAACTCTCATAATAAAGTGAGAAATAGAATAAAAAATATGAAATAGAAATAAAATTAAAACGATGGAAAAGGACTTAAAAAGTGTCCAGGTTTAAGAAGAAAGAAAGTTTTTAGGGTGAAAAAAGAAAAAATGAAACATGGGACTCTTTGAGCATATTTGTGAGAACAATGCAGATTTTCAAAAAAAGAAGATAAAAACCATGATATAGTAGGTCCATCAATCGATCAGGGTCAAATGAGAGAAGATATATGGGTTACAAAGGTGAGATTATTCTGGAATTACGTAAATATGAGATTATTATGAGAAGACCGATTAAGTATGGGATTATTATTGTCAATTTTCCTATACACGGTAAACCATACTAAAGAAATTACACCGAGTAAAGCATGTTAAAATATTTATCACACACCGAATTGGTATAAAATAATAAAACATCCGGTTATTAGCCCTATTAGGGCAGAAAATAGTCTTAAATGATGTTGAGTAAAATCTTTTTATTCCCAAAATAGAAGTAATATATGTCCCTTCTACATATTCTACTCTTTCCTATAATTTCTAACAGATTTATTTTATTGATAAGAAAGTCATAGTTTTATTAATAACAAAAATATAAAAATAATAAAAATATTTATAAATTAATAATAAAAGCGGTAAAAAATAAAAATAAAAAAAATATATATAAAAGAAATGAAAAACAATTAAAACTTAAAATAAATACCTAAAATATTAAAAAAAAATGTGGGCCTCTATCGCCGCATCCTCAACCTCCCAGCACCACCAACTTTGATCGTCGCGGGAAAAAAATGAGATCTTGTGTAAAATTGGCACATTCTTCTGAAAATGTCATGAAAATGACATTTATACTCTTTGAAAATATCCAACTTTCTTTTCAAAATTGTCATCGTGATGATTTGTTTGCAACTTGACATTCTTTTCCCGTTATCAGGTGTAGCAGTGCTGGAAGGTGATGAGGAGGTTGATGAGGCCTATATATTAATCGTTTATTTTTGTTTACGTTTTTATTTTTTTATTTTTTATTTTTTATGTTTTATTATAGTTATTTAAAAATTTCTATTAAGCATGACAAGGGAAATGGTAGAATAGGAAGAATTAGTCATATTTTGGAAATTTAAACTTTATGCTCCTATTGTTGCAATTTTAATTTTATTTACTCCTATTTGGGGAATTAGCCCTAAAACATTATATAAAATCTTGGATTACTCATCTTATGAGATTGACCATTTAGGATGCAACGCCAACTTTGATATCATATTAGCACTCTGATATCATTCATGATTAGGGATAATTTGTTGAGGATTTGTTTCATCAATTTGTACATGTGTTGTTATCCAATCTTATGTAGGCTGATCGGGCGTGTCGAAAATTTTGTCTCAAATCTTTTTTTACCCCAGGGGGTCGGGAGGCCTATGGTAAACTGGTATCAAACTCACTCCATTGAGTATTGAATTTGGGACCTCCCATAAGGATCAGTGAGTCGGCGACCAGCTGAGCTGTACCGCTTTCTCATTTGTCTAAAGTTGAATTGACATAAGATAATAAAACATTAAATAAGATTTTGAGTTACTCTTCCTATGAGGTTGTTGGCCTCTTAGTTTGAACTTCAAGTCTTAGGGAGTGTTTGGAACTGATTCTGCTTCTGCTTCTTTTTTAAAATAGAAGCAGAATCAGAATCAGTTTTCAGAAGCTGTTACCTACCAGCTTCTAAAAAAATGATTCCGAGAGTAAATTAGAGCACCAGAAGTGCTTATGGAATTTCACCCAAACACTCCAGCTTCTGCTTCTGCTCCCTGAAGTAGCAGAATCAGTTTTGAGAATCAGATCCAAACACCCCCTTAATATGACATCATAACCAAGTCTTATTCTGGGTATGATTGTTGTTTAACTTCCATAATTAAAGGTAACTTGTTAAGAGGTTATCTACCCCATTTGTACACTCGATACACCCAACCCAATCTACCTTCCCCCTAGGTCTCAGTCTACACCACGCCGTTCGTCTAATACATAGCTCAAATCTAGCTATAATGACTTTCAAGAGGAGGAATGGAGGTCGCAATAAGCATGGCTGCGGCCAAGTCAAGTTTGTTCATTGCTCCAACTGCGGACAAAGCCATGAAGAGGTATCTTGTAGGAAACATTATCGAGCAAGCTGCCCTTAGAGATGTCCAAGAGGCTTGTGTTTTTTAATCATACACTCTTCCAAAGCTCTATCCCAAGGTGCAATATTGTATTTCACGTGCAATTCACTCTCGTACTGATCGAAGAAACTGAGAACCTCCACAACGTCTCTTCAGACGCCCAATGCGGCCCTGCCAAGCCTAGTCTGTCACCACGCGCTGCTGGCGCTCCTCCAACTGTTGCCCGTACATAGAGGCGGTCTGCATCCAAAGAACTTGTTGTGAAATAATAACATGGAATAATGGCTCACCTTGATAAACAGATAAATAGGAAAATTACAAATATGTCCCGATACTATAGATTATTACACCCCCCAATCTGTGCAGGGGAAACAACGCGCAGATTGGAACGTAAAAACTCAAAACGCTGATTAGATAAGTTTTTAGTAAAAATATCAGCTAACTGTAACTGCGTTGGAACATATTTAACCACCAGATCTCCATGAGCAGCTCTTTCTCTGACAAAGTGGTAATCAATCTTGATATGCTTACTGCGGTCATGTTGAATAGGATTCACAGCTAAATAAGAGGCAGACACATTATCACAGTGGAGCTGAACCGGTTTGGAAAGCTGGATACCCATCTCAGACATAAGTGAGCGGATGAAAATTGTATCCTGAACAGTATAGGCTATGGCACGATACTCAGCTTCAGTGGAAGATTTAGAAACAGTAGGTTGCTTCTTAGAGCGCCATGAGATAAGATTAGGGCCCATAAAAATAGCGTAACCAGTGGTGGAGCGACTGCTTTCCGGACAACATGCTCAATCAGCATCAGAATAGGCCACAAGAAGAGAGATGTCACGGTTGGCTTGAAGCCACAAACCATAATCTGTAGTGCCCTGCAAGTATCTGTAAATCCGCTTCACAGCCAAAAGATGAGTAGTACGAGGTGCATTCATAAATTGAGAAACCAAATGTACAACATAAGTAATATCAGGTCTAGTTAAAATCAAATACTGTAAAGCACCTACCATACTGCGATACTCGGTAGCATCAGTAAGAAGTTCACCATCTGTGAGAGAAAGAGTGGTTCGGGAAGGTAAAGGTGTACGAACTGGTATGACAGTATGAAGATGGAACCGGCGTAATAAATCGGAGATATATTTTTGCTGAGAGATAAAAAGACCCTTGGTGGTACGCCGGGTTTGAAGGCCCGGGAAAAAGTGAATGTCCCCCAAGTCCTTCATGGCAAACTGAGTAGACAAAGAATCAATGATAGAGCGGACAAGAGGTAGCGAGGAGCTAGTAATTAAAATATCGTCCACATAAAGAAGAATGTAAACAATCTGAGACTGTTGACTGTAAACAAACATGGAAGAATCAGATTTACTTTGAGTAAAACCATGATATAAGAGGAAACCACTGAACCTGTGAAACCATGCTCTGGGAGCCTGTTTAAGACCATATAACGCCTTGCTGAGACGACACACATGATGAGGAAAAGAGGGATGAATAAAACCTGGAGGTTGACGCATATAAACCTCCTCTGTAAGGTGCCCGTGAAGAAATGCATTTTTGACGTCTAATTGACGTATACACCAACCAAGAGAGACAACAATAGATAAAACCAGACGCACAGTAGTAGGTTTAACCACAAGACTAAAGGTTTCAGTAAAATCAACCCCAGCCTGCTGCTTAAAACCTTGAGCAAATAAACGCGCCTTGTGGCGCTCAACAGTCCCATCAGAATTATATTTCGTCTTAGTAAACCCACTTACATCCAACCACATTTTTCAAGTCATCCCAAGGTACCAAATCCCAAGTTTGATTAGAAAGTAGCGCATTAAATTCATCAGCCATGGCAGCCCGCCAAATAAAATGTTTTTGAGCTTCTGAAAAACACGTAGGATCATCCGGAGGCGAAAACACACTTAAATTAAAGATTGTTTTGGGCTTATAAATACCATCTTTAACTAGAGTTTGCATTGGGTGATGATTAACTGGAGGAAGGGATTTGTGAGGAGGGGAAGGACTGGATGTTGGACAGTCTGAGGGGCTGGATTACGGACTAGACGTAGGACTGGATGGTGGACTGTCCGAGGGGCTGGATAGTGAACTGGTTGGGTTAGGTACAGGGCTGATCAGTGGGTTGATCGGGCTGGTTACAGGGCTGGTTAGTGGGTTGTGCAGTGTATGTGGTGTGGTGCTGGCCGTGGGACTGGAGCTAGATGGTGTATGGGTTTCGGATGCAGATTGCTGGACTGAGGAGGAAGTGGCTGGGAATAGTAGGTAAGGAAGAAGCTGGCCATGAAGTGGGGCTGGTTGCTGGACGGTCCAGCGGGTGCAGGTCTACGGAAGTAACTGGATGGAGAATAGGAAAACTGGATAAAGACTTAGAAGGGGCAAGATTAGAAGATGATGGAGTGGTTTGACTTTTGAGTGAGCCTAGAATAGGGAAAATTATCCTCAAAGAATTGGACATCACGACTAATATAAACTCTACCAGAAATGGGATCTAGACAACGATAACCCTTATAACCCGGGGCATAGCCAATAAAAACACATTGAATAGAGCCAGGTGAGAGCTTATTGGAATACTTGGCAATGAAGTTAGGAAAATAAGCACATCCAGAAACACGAAGAAAAGAAAAATCAGGAGATTTATTATAAAGTTTTTCAAAAGGAGTTAAATTATTGAGTGTGGGGGTAGGTAAACGATTGACAATATAAGTGGCCGTATATAGTGCATCAACCCAAAAATTAGAAGGAATTGAGCAATCAATTAACATGGTCCTAGTTAATTCAAGAAGATGTCTATGTTTACGCTCAGCCACACCATTTTGAGCAGGAGTATCTGAGCAAGATTTTCTGAATAAAATACCGGATTTAAAAAAATGATTATGAAAAGGTGTATTATCAAACTCACCACCCACATCACTCTGAAAAGTCTTGATTTTGCGATTAAAAAGATTTTCCACTAGAGTTTGAAAATTACAAAAATGAGTAAATACCTCAGACTTGCGCCGCATAGGATAAATCCATGTATAGCGAGAAAAATTTTCAATGAAATATACATAGTACTTGATAAGCGTTTTATTAACGTGTTTTATATATTCATCTTAAAACGCTTTTATGCTTAAAAAGAATAAAATCTTCACACATATGTCTCGTTTTGCTAGAAGTGCATTAAATCGACGATTGGACCAAATATGGGGATAATAGAATACACACGAAGAAATCGACGGAAAAAGGCCAATCAAACACATCTCGAGGAACAAATGAAGCCTACAAAACTGCACAAAGGAAGCAAAAGGCGCCCGACCATTGAAAAGGCCGGCCGACTTTTACCCCCAAGCACATTTTCCACGTCCAAAGAGAAGAAAGGGTGTCCGGAGCAAGAAAGAAGCAGCATTTTAAACGCACGAAAGCTGCCCGGCTTTTGAGAATGTCGTTCGGATTTCGTCTGGGACTGATTAAAACAAGCAACGGTCATCACAATCATTCGGAGAAAACACCAAACCCCATTAAGGAACTTGCTTCCTTGTCTAAAAATGGCCGTTGAAGACCCAATATTTAAGCATGTTGAAGTCCTCTCAAGAGATTATTCCATATTCCATACACCTTACTTCCATTTTAGCATTCCAAGATCAACCCCTTGGTCTTGGGAGAAGTTCTACACTTGGGGATTCCATTGTCCACCATAGCTTTGGAGTTGTGGTACTACTTTCTTATGTATTTCATTGTATTTCATCAATTCAATACTTGTAATTTCATTATGAATTGCTCTAGCTAATTTTCCATAGCCAAGGTTAGTGATGAAACTTTACACACTCTAGGTGTTTGATGTATGTTCTCAACCAAATTATTATGATCTTTCCTTTATATTTTAATGTGTATGACTATGGTGTACAACGTATGATTATATCGTTGGGTTTATTTAAGCAATTAACGTTGAGTTATAAACCATGCACTTAAAGGATAGACATATTCTAATTGTGGATAGAAATATACCTCAATTGAATATGGTGGTTTTAATATTGTCCTAATCTTCAATGGGGTTAATTTTAGATGAATGTGAACCGTGACGGGATTCACACGTAGGATTAATCACAATTTCGCTGCCGTAACAGGAGTTAGAATACTTTAGCGACATTCCACTCATAAGAATTGGTGAAAGAATATACATTAATCGCTAGGAGTCGTTTAGGAGTAATCCCGAACCCTTGGTTGCTTTTATTATCACTTGAAAGTCAAACAAATCTATACTCTCTTACTAAGTCTATTACAAATTCTATTCTCAACTTTTGAATCATATAAAAAACATTTCCTCGTGTTCAACTCGGTATTTTTACCGGATTTTATTACTACACTGGCACTTGTACACTTGCAAGTTATAGCCGATCAGTACTTAAAACCCAAATTAGATAAAACAGGCGATTGCCAAACATCAGAATGAATGAGTTCCAGTGGCGCAATACAATCATGAATAACATCCTGAAACGGTAGTCTGTGGGATTTACCCAGCTTACAAGAAACACAATTATGAGAAAAATTACTAGAAACTGAAATTAATTTATTTTGCCGAAGTCTGTGTAAAACTCGATCACCACAATGCCCTAAACGTTTATGCCAGGTAGGACCAGGAACTAAAGTCGCTTGAAGAGAATGGAAAGGGTAGAGATGGTCTTTATTGGAGCCCTGAAGAAGATGCACCCCGTCTAATTGTCCTTAATAGAAAAAGAATTTTTATTAAAAATCACCGTACAATCATTATCCGCACACAACTTATGAATAGACAATAAATTATATTTGAGGTGTGGGACATGATAAACGGAGTTTAAAGAAAGCGGGCGACCAGACGTAGAAATTTTAAAGCTACCAACATTATCTATGGGTAATTTAGTACCATTAGCAACTTGAACTGAATTTTGACCGATGTAAGGAAGTTTACAAGAAAGAATACTTTCATGAGGGGTCATATGAGCGGAGGCTCCCGAGTCAGGATACCACACAGATGCATTATGTTCGCCCGAGGGAAGAGCAGCGAGAGCTGGAGTCGAGGAACCCACAAATCTTGAACACGTGAGAGCAGAGTGACCTGGGGAAAAACATATTTGGAAAACAACTGGCGTAGAGGGATGAGAAAAAGTATTGTCCACAGATGGAAAACCTGCACTGAAACTATTAGTACCACAAGTAGAGAGATGATTAGAGTATGAATAACCAGTCAAGATATTACTTAATTAACACTGTACCTGGAACCCCATTATGTTGCTGACCATGTGCCTGTGGCTCGCCATAAACATGCTGCCCTGGAAGCTGCTGACCGTGGGGAGGTAGAGGAAGAAGAGGCGGCTGCTGCCCGCCATAGACCTGCTGCTGCCCGCCAAAAGCTGGATTCTGCTGACCCCCATATCCACGGCCACGACCTCGCTCGCCATGACCGCGCTGGCCACCGTGATAACCACGACCTCCGGGATGACGACCAGCCTGACCGCATGATGCACCCCCTCGGTTGGGAGCCGTGACAAAGGCTTGATGTGACACCACAAAATCCTGAGACGGAGATAAATGTTCCGTTGCTCCTGAGCAGTCAAAATGGGCCCCAATTTTTCAAGGGTAAGATCGCCCGGGAGGTAGTTGAGGATGGTCAGAAAAGATTCATACTCCGACCCCAAACCAATAATAGTATACTCAAGAACATCACGGTTGCTAACAGGAGAATTGATAGCATTCAAAGCATCAGCTAACAATTTTATTTCCAAGAGATCAATGGTTTGAGACTCCTTTTTAATATGGGAAATTTGTCGCTTAAGTTCTATAGAACGGGCACGACATGCATTCATAAAACGAGTTTCAAGTGATTCCCATATACGGGCAGATAATTTTAAGTGATATACCGCCAACAAAATATCACGTGAGAGAGTAGCAAAGAGCCATGAGCGTACAGTCAGAATTGGGAATTTCCCGTTGCATTATGTATAAATTGTGGCGGAGCTAAAATTGAGTCATCTTGTAACGCCCCAAAATCCAGTCTAGTTGTTATTAGGTTACATATGAATATAAATTCAAATTATATCTTTAGTTAATCATTATCTCGTTTAATATGGAAGTTAAAATTTTATACTACTTATTTCCATGAGGTATCACTAATAAAGTAACGTGAGAAGAAGTTAGAAATTATATGATTAAAATAGCTTAAAATTTACTTTTTACTTTTAAATAAAAACTAAGGCACATATATTATCTCTTTAAAATGGAAAATACCCTATCGTGAACCTTTCTGAAATGATGAGTAAGTTAAGTTCTTAGGTGAGTCATATGATGTGCTGGAACTAAATAAACAATACACTTGTTTATACGTGTAGGAGAATAAACATGGGTGCTAGATTTAGGTTTATCTTGAAGCTTAGAACCAAAGCTTAGTCCTCATAAAGCTATGAAGTGGAGCTTCATATAATTTACACGTAGAGTAAATATTAAGTCCATTCTCCTAGAAATTTCAATTAGGCAAACACTATTTATATGACCAAAATTACTCCTTGCTCTCACAACTTACACTTCGGCCAGCACTTTAATTTAGTAGCTTAAGATAGATTATTGGGAATGAAAGGATTTCTCCAACCGAGAAAGGAAGGAACGAGCAGGGAAAAGAATTTTTGAATCAATATAGCACCCTTACGATTTCAAACATAAGGTCCGTACGTTCCCGCCCTGTCCAGATTAGTTTCGGTATTATGTTAATTTCCGTCCCCGTTTCTTGTTATGTTATGGGGATGATGGACATTTTATAACTTAGTGGCATTGATCTTATGTGTTGTAAAAGTGTGTTCTTTGAATTTATGGAATAATATTATTTTATAAGAAACGTTAGTTTGTACGTAGTAAGATTTAGTAGAATTAAAAACAGTTAATTAGTGAAATGATTTTATATATGTTATTTACGTAAGTAAATAACATAGTATTCATAGTATAATTCATATTTTATATATGTTATTTACGTAAGTAAATAACATATTTTATACATAGTATTCATACGCGCGTAAACTAATTAAAAACACATGATTTCGTAGAATATAAATTATGACTTCCACTCACTTGCTAATATATTACGCAAGTATTGCCTCTCAAATGAATGCATGTGATTTGCTAATATTATACTCTACTTATATGTAGTATGTTATTATGATTACTTTTGTAAACTAAAATAAAATATAAGATGCATGAATTAGTTGGACCGACATATGAATAAATGAAACAAAAGAATAAACTCTTAACATTGTTAGTGAACAGGTTTGTAGTTATACTACGTATGTTTTACTTGTTATATTTAAATTA